CTACTCCCTTCGAAGGGCAGAGCCCTTGGAGTGGAGACTTTGGGGTGAGCAGGGCACGTGCGTGCTATTATGTAGTCGTTTGGAATGCATTTGGCAAAGGGAGCGACGTCATTTCCTCATTATCTTCAGCTGGCATGTTCCCGTGACAACGCAGCACGGTGTCCATCAGCAGATGTCGCTGTTTTAATGGCATAAATGTCTTTTTATTGTTATTAGCATAACTGTTGCAAATAAACATACATTTTATATTTTATGGTCTTGTCATGTGGTTCTCAGTTCTGTTTGTCCATTGGTTGGTTTGTGTCATGTGACCCTTCTTGTCTGCTATACGTAGCCATCATGTTGTCATTGTTCCTTGTCGTGTATTGAAGCTGTAACCCACTGTCGGCGAGTCTAGTCTGTTTATGCCTCGTCAAGTCTGTTCATGTCTAGTCAAGTCTGTTCAAGCCTCGTCAAGTCAAGTCTGTGTCTCTAGTCTCGGTTTATGTTTGTATTTTGGATCACGTCTGTAAATAAACTGCACATGGGTTCTTCACTACGCTGGCCACAGAGGCTGTTCACGAACTCACAGACTGTCTTGTCATGGCCACGGAGGCCGTTCACGAACTCACTGTCTGCCCTGTCATGGCCAAAGAGGCCGTTCACGAACTCACAGTCTGCCCTGTCACGGCCACAGAGGCCGTTCACAAACTCACAGACTGTCGTTACGGCCACGGAGGCCGTTCATGAATTCAGTGCCTGTCCTGTTACGGCCATGGAGGCCGTTCATGAACTCACTGTCTGTCCTGCCACAGCCAAGGAGGCCGTTCATGAACTCACTGTCTGCCCTGTCATGACTAAGAAGGCCGTCCATGAATTCACTGCCTGTACTGTTACGGCCATGGAGGCCGTTCATAAACTCACTGTCTGTCCTTTCACGGCCAAGGAGGCCATTCAAGAACTCTCTGCTTGTTCTGTCTCAGTCAAGTGGTCTATCCATGTCTCTGCTCCGCCATGGCTTCCTGCTCTGCCGTCACCACCCGGCCGCCCTGCTCTGCCTGCACCGCCATGGCTCCCTCTTCTGCCTGCTCCACCATGGCTCCCGGTTCTGCCTGCGCCGCCATGGCCCCTCGCTCTGCCTGCTCCACCATGGCCCCTCGCTCTGCCTGCTCCGCCATGGCTCCCCAGTCTGCCTGCTCCGCCATGGGTCCCTGCTCTGCCTGTTCCGCTTCATGGGCCTGGCCCTCCATCCCTCCCCCTGTTCCGCCTTTGCTCTACCGCCCTCCTGGACTTGTTGGGTTTTGTGTTTGTTTGGGCGTCTGTAGCCGCCCTTAGAGGGAGGGATATGTAATGTGGGGTTTGGGTTTTGTTTCTTGTTCTGTTTTCATGTCTTTAATTTTGGAGTTTAGTCATGGTCCCTGTTTGTGTTTTGCTTCCCTTGCCCTCATGTATTCATGCTATTGGTTTCTTTGTTCATTGTGTCATGTTCTGATTGATTTTTGGTCTTGTCATGTGGTTCTCAGTTCTGTTTGTCCATTGGTTGGTTTGTGTCATGTGACCCTTCTTGTCTGCTATAAGTAGCCATCATGTTGTCATTGTTCCTTGTCGTGTATTGAAGTTGTAACCCGCTGCCGGTGAATCTAGTCTGTTCATGCCTAGTCAAGTCTGTTCATGCCTCGTCAAGTCAAGTCTGTGTCTCTAGTCTTCGTCTGTTTGGATGTTGTCAAGTCAAGTCAAGTCTGTTCATGCCTCGTCAAGTCTGTTCATGCCTCGTCAAGTCTGTTCATTCCTCGTCAAGTCTGTTCATGCCTCGTCAAGTCTGTTCATACCTAGTCAAGTCTGTTCATGCCTCGTCAAGTCAAGTCTGTGTCTCTAGTCTCGGTTTATGTTTGTAATTTGGATCACGTCTGTAAATAAACTGCACATGGGTTCTTCACTACGCTCGCCTTCAGTGGACTGATTCATTACACCAGGTTACCAATTAATTGCCTATAGCATCACGGCACAAGCGCTTATCGGACCATTATCACTATCAGCCCCCAAAATGTTTAGCATTTACTTACCCTAACATTGTTCCAAAGCCAGTTTTTTTGTTTGTTTTTTTTTGTGGAAAAACAAAGAGAGACTTTGTCTTCTCCATTCTATGACAATGAATGTTGACAAATTTAAGCTTGAAAAGGACGGAAGAGCACCACAGAAGCATCATAAATGTGGTCTATATATTTTTGAATGAGTATCTGTACTCTTTACTCCACTACATTTGAAATGAGTGTTGCAGTTACACATTACATTTTGCTTGGACCTAGATTTTTCTGTAGCAGTTTATTTCTGTGATACTGCCTATTACAGGAAAGTACTGCATCTTGTGCGTTTTGCCCTTACTCACCCAAACTTGTCAACAAGGCTACTTTATGTGAATGCGAGTTCCTAAGCAAGTATTATATATATATATATGTATATATGTATGCTATTTTTCACTTTCAGTTATCCTTTCACTTTAAGTTAAAGAGTGTATTTTAAGTAATTACAATTATAAGTGTTTTGTTTTTCACCATAAAGTTCAGAAATTTAGTACGTAGCATTTGGCTTTGGTGGTATGACAATATGAAATGGTAATGATGAATTTCTGGGGGGAAAAAGTGACAAAATATTGGTTTTAATGTCTAAGAAGCAGAACGTCTAATTCCATTAATGATGATAATTTTTTTATATTTTTAAAAGTAGTTTTATTTACTTACAGTTATATCCTGTTAACATCACCAGAGAACTAGCGGCGAATAATTAATGTTTCGCATTATTCACACACCACATAGAACCACAGATTTAAGAAGCAGGTTTTTTTAGTTATTGTTGCGAAAGAATCAGAAAGTGTGCGGAAAGCATAAACGTTTTAATGTAATAACTGTGCTAAGCTAAAACGTTGTTTTGCACCGCGCTTGCAATATGATGCCCAAAAATGCTGTTCGCGCTTGCGCCATAAAATCACGTTTATTCTAAAAAGAGCTGCCCCCAAAATGCTGTCTTGCAAGGCAGCTCACAATGTGAGACACCGCCAGAGTGTTTGGTGCGATACGGGGTTTGTAGCAGCACAACATGCGTAAACCAGCGTTTCAAATAATAGTCGGCCAAACATTGTCCTATCCTAACAAACCATACATCAATGGAAATCTTATTTATTCAGCTTTCAGATGATGCATAAATCTCAATTTCGAAAATGTGACCCTTATGACTGGTTTTGTGGTCCAGGGTCACATATGAGTCTCCTGAGCTCAAATCCCTCAAATATTTTGAAAACTAATGAAACACACCTTCAGGTCTCAGAAAAATACACACTTCTCATATCATTGGTCCCAAAACAATATACACTGGAAGAACATACGGTACTATGTATCACTGCAGAAACCTGGATAGACAAAAAGAGAAAGGGAAGGAGAAAAAGGAAATAAATAATTCAGCTGAGAAGAAGTGCTGACAGGAAGTAGTGGGAATGTGAAAGTAAGAGCTGGGATGAATGCAGGCGCTGGGCGTGGGAAACTGCTGGCCTGCTCTCTCCCTAGTGGCTTCCACAACAGTCGCACTACCGGACTGAATCTAAGGGTGTGGCAAAGCAACACTAATTCAGGGAATTCATGACTTTGGATGATTTATTTGGCATAGTGCTGCTCTTTTGTTACACCCTTGTTCCCACTAAATATCTATAATTTTCTATTTTTCAAGCATGTTTGTTGTGATTTTGAAGGGTTAGTTCACCCAAAAATGAAAATTCTGTCATTAATTACTCACCCTCGTGTTGTTCCAAACCCGTAAGACCTTCGTTCATCTTCGGAACGGACTTGGATGTCAATATAGACCCTGCACCAATGGCTTTAGGGCTATCCTCTCGATCTCCAAAGCTAAGGCACGAAGAACGGTCAAAATCAGTCCGAACGCAACAAGCGGCGGAACAGCTGATAGAGAGGCAAACACTTGTAGGTTGCCCACGTTCATACACAGTTCCAACTCAATGCAACAGCGGAGCTGAAAAGAACAGAGTAATTAGTCATGCAAACCACTGCTTGGTAGCATGAAGCACCCAGCATCTCTAGTGCACAATAATGTTTTATGCTGCAGTCACAATGCAGCCAGTCATGTGAAGCGAGTGTTGGTAGCAGAAGCGCCGCATCAATCACATGAAGTAGGCTGACCATGGTGAGCATTAATAGCTTGCCATAAGAGATACTCTTACACGTGAACTCATTCACACAGTAGCTCAGCTCAGTGTATCTCAGTTGGGATGAGAAGAATAATGATTAGTTATGCAAATAGCATTGGTAGCCTGAAGTGCCAAAACCATGTTGCACGACAAATGTGTGTTGCAAAACTCCACAGAGCCAGCTCATAGCACAGAGTCCACTATTTGTTCCAGCTCAAAACAGCAGTGAAGCTGAAAGAATAATTATTATTAGCCGGGCAGACTCGTGTTTGGTAGCATGAAGCGCCAAAAACCATAGCGCACGGCAAATGTCAACTGTGGAGTCCATGCTTAAAAACAGTCACATGAACAAGAGTTGGAAGCGTAAGCGCCAAATCAATGTACGTGCCCTAATTAATGCAGTGCACGAGTGGAGGCAGGAAAAAACCCGCTCACTCCGCAGCCTGAGTCACTATAGCATTAGGTGTAAAACAGCTTGCCATAGGAATTTACTCTAGATATGTGAGCGTGCCCACTGATTTGTTCTAGCTCAAAGCATCAGCGGAGCTGAAAGAAAAATGAACAGCTGGGCAGATTAAGGCTTGGTAGCCTGAAGCGCCAAGACCATAATGTATGACAAACACCCGCTGTAGGACTCCTAGAGTCTGTTCCTAAAAGCAGTACACGAAATAAGAGCTGGAAGCATAAGCACCAATTCAATGCACGTGCCTGCATTAGTGTAGCGCGGAAGTAGAGAGAGAGAGAGAGATAGGAAAACCGGTCTGCTCAACTCTACAACCTGAGCCATATAGCATTAAATGTTAAAACAGCTTGCCACTTAATGTTTCAGCTCAACGCAGCAGCAGAGCTGAAAGAAATATTATATTACTCGGGCAGACCAACGCTCGGTAGCATGAAGCGCCAAGACCATGGTGCACGACAAAATATCTGCTGCAGGACTCCTCAGAGTCTGCGTCTAAAAAGTACACGAACAAGAGTTGGACGCTTAAGCGCCAAATCAAATGAACGTGACTGCGTCAGTGCAGCGCAGCAGGTAACGTTAGAGAGAGAGAGGGGGGGAAACCCCGCCAGCTCACTGTTACAGCTTGCTATAAGAATACTCAGAAACACGTGAGCTCTTCCACTTATTTGTTTCAGCTCAATGCAGCAGCGGAGCTGAAAGAAATAGTAATTAGTCGGGCAGACTAATGCTTGGTAGCTCGAAGCGCCAAAAACATAGTGCACAAATAACTTCTGCTGAACGACTCCTCGAGAGTCTGCGTCTAAAACCAGTACACGAACACGAGTTGGAAGCATAAGCGCCAAATCATATGAAGGTGTCTGCATTAGTACAGCGCAGCTGGTAACGTTAAAGAGAGAGGGGGAAATCCGACTACTCACTGTTATAGCTTAAGAAATACTCTGAAATACGTGAGCTCTTCCACTTATTTGTTTCAGCTCAATGCAGCAGCGGAGCTGAAATAAATAGTAATTAGTCGGGCAAACTAATGCTTGGTAGCTCGAAGCGCCAAAAACATAGTGCACAAATAACTTCTGCTGCACGACTCCTCAGAGTCTGCGTCTAAAACCAGTACACGAACACGAGATGGAAGCATAAGCGCCAAATCAAATGAACGTGTCTGCATTAGTGCAGCGCAGCAGTAGAGAGAGAGAGGGGGAAAACCGCCTGCTCAGTTATAGCTTGTTATAAGAAATACAATGAAACAGTAAGCTCTTCCACTTATTTGTTTCAGCTCAATGCAGCAGCGGAGCTGAAATAAATAGTAATTAGTCGGGCAAACTAATGTTTGGTAGCTCGAAGCGCCAAAAACCATAGTGCACGACTTAACGTCCTAAAAATCAGTGCCTTTCATGTGGTTTAATAAACTTGAGAAACACTTGATCCAGGGAGGGGGTAGAGCAATGGGGATTTTATATCAGTAAACTCGCCCCTTAACCCATAGATTATATCTACAGTTTGTGTTGCCTGCGAGCTCGAGCCCGAGGCTGCTGTAGAGTATGCATCATCTAATCCGCAGCCGAAAGAATCGATTAGGAGCTTCCGGAGCGGGAATCAGATTTGACTAACCACCTGACTCACGAGGCGCTCTTCTGATGAACGCACGCGGTCTGGGGAAGAGAGCCAGAGAGAAGGGGATTAATTCCGTTCTCTCACTCTCTGTACACTCGGGCTCATCGCCGTCACCCCAAGCGTCGAGCTCGTGCGGCGCCTCGGCAACCGCAGAACCGGAACAGCAGGGGTTGAACGAACATCTCTCCTTCCTCAGAAAGAGAGCGAGCCCAGAGCGCAACTTACTCACAAACACAGATATCACGGATACAACAATAGATAAAGGCCGCAAAGCGGTCTTCCTACCTGTTTCCTTGTGAGTCTGTGTAACATGCATCCATACATACCGGAAAACTCATTGTGTCCGCCTTAGAGGAGTAAACTGCTCTATATAAATAGATGGCTTAGAACACAAGAATCTCTTTCCGACGGGCAACAGATGATTCGCTTCCTGAAGGAATAAAAATCTGATGAAATAGCGCGCAGCACACATATATAAGCATACACCGTATGCTTGAGGCGGTGCTAAGCGCTATTGGCCAATAAATTGGCGTGATGGTATAAGGGCTTCAGACATTCGTCACACCGGAGGTGTTCCCAAAGCGATGACGTCGTCGCAGCATTGAAGTTACCTATGAGAGGGAACTGTCGTATCATACTTTGTAGTTGTGGGCAGAGCAAGGCTTCATGAAACACTGAAACAGTCGAAGCAAATGTGCCGAGGCTTCGAAACAATTCGACACCCGCCTCTACGGTGACACCTAGTGGTCATTTTCAAGTTTTGCCCTGAAACAGCATTGGCAATGAATCAGTTAAGCGAATTGACGAATTATAACATATATTTTACCCATTTTTCAGGTTAGGGGAGTGGTTAGTGTGCAGGCCTGGCATGTTGTCAGAACCTGTTACTTTAGGTTCGAATACCGTGAGAAGCATGAATGTAATTATAATAAATATTTGAAAGTTGTGTTTTTATTGTTCTGTTCTTGTAATGTGTTGTAACATCTCTCTGACAACTGAATGAACTCTTTGTGAATATGTTATTTTGGTCATGAAAAAATAAACAATAATAGACATCAAGCCACAACTGGCATTTTTTTTTTTTTTACATATTATAAAGGTTTTAATTGAAATATATTAATTGTTCTGCTGCATTAACTCCACTTTTATACTTTGCGGGAGTTAGGTTAAAAATAGGCATTTTCAAAATTATATAATAAATGATCTGGAGTATTTTGAGCTGAAGCTTCACAGACACATTCTGGGGACACCAGAGACTTATATTACATATTAGAGAAAGGGGCAAAATATGTCACCTTTAAATCACAAATCAACTTAATCATGAATGAAACACTATTTTTTGTGTGTTTCTGCCTGTCTCAGCTGACCGGTGAGTGTTCCTGTAAGCCTGGTTTTGGAGGGACGACATGTGAGGAGTGCAGGGAACTGTTCTGGGGCAATCCTGAGGTCCAGTGCCACGGTGAGTCTGCACTGCGTCATTAAAACTGCTCCGTGCTGTGCTATCAGTGGGTGGAATCTGATTATCGCTGCACTAATATTTGTGCAAACTGTGCAGTGCAGTCGAATAGCATGTTTTCACCCTCAATTTTGTGCAGTACATGTACTTTAATTCCCAATAGCAGAGTTTTCATCAACACGTTTTCATGCAAATTTTGGGATTGTGCATGAAAATGAATGGATGGAAACACCAATATGCAAATAAATATTCAAAATTACAAAAATATATATAATTTTACTTTCTTGAACACATTAAATTACTGTAATGCATTTGAATGTTTTTTAATGCATTTAGTTTTTTTGAGGTTTTGTAGTTATCCTCAGTGACAACACTAGATTCTCATTGAATTATTCTTATTTCAAAATAAAATTATAAATAAAAAATAATAGATTATTACTCTGGAAATTAATATTTTCTTCTCTTGAACACATTTAGATGGAAACGCTTATTTTATGTATTTTTTATGATATTGTGATAAATTTAATTTGCAACTCGGATGAAAACATAATTAATGATTCATTAAATTCTCATGCACTTGTTAACATGACCTGAACATCAAGTGAAGATTTCAGACCTGACTGAACCAATTTGTTATGAAGCAGCAATGGCAAAAAAAAATTGCACATGAAGATATCCCTGATATGCATGAAAAAAATTGAAACAGCTGACAGTGTAAACGCGGCATATAACTCATTAACCACATACTGTACAAATACAAACTAACACACTCTCAAGGAAAAAACACTTTACCACCTCTGATTAGTTAACATTTTTACCTTATTTTGGAGAATTCCAGAAAGTCTTATTTATCTATTTCAGAGAAATCTCCAATATCTTTGCCAGCAGTTGATTTTAATGTAAATTGGTTCTCTTTAAGTGAGAAATTCTTAGTATTTCTTATTCTTGTGTAACTCAAATGCAAGATAGCATCCGAAAACTTAATGGATTCCTCCAATACATGGTTAAAATGTTACCAGACAATGTTTCCGTGGTAAGCTGACAAAGTTGCCCTTGTAAGACTGGGCTGCTACAAACAAATACATGCATGCACACAGCATAAATAGACTCCCAGAATGTTTAAACTGGTTGGAAAGTATATGCATATCTGTTTATTTGTGTCAGTGTGATTTATTCTCTTCTCTCTGAGTTCAAGAGACACAGAGTTTGTTTGAATAAGGGTCTGCTCTTACATTAAGCAGAAGTGTGTAGTATTCTTATTGAACTATAACCAAACAAACAATATCTCTCTTTTTCTCTTTTCCTGCTTTTTTATCTTTCTGGCACTCTTAAGTAAGCACTAATGCAAAACATCTCACGATTCAAGTGTATTATAATGATCTTCGATTCGGTCGAATAAACACCTTTAACGGTGTTCTTTTGTCAGAGAAAGATCATAAACCTGATATACAGCTAAAATGTTGTGTTTGTGTTTCAAAGTCAAGAGCATAAAAAGAGGAGGAGGAAATTCCAGTGGAGTTACACTAGCTCTCTTAATGCCAACAAAAATAAATGTTTTTTTTGCAAAGAAATCCTCTGTTATGAACCAAACACAATGGCATATTTCATGCCAATGACAAGAGGAACATAATATTAAATTATACCTTGCACAAACAAAATTCATCTATTTTCTGGACTATTACGATTTTTTGCATTGTGACATTATTTTCAAAAAAAACATTTTACCCCCAAATTCTCATTATTGTAATGGGTTTTTGTGGTTCTCCTCAGTGACAACTCTTATTAGATTCTCATTACTGCAATCTACAATGATTCTAATTTAAAAAGCTGTTTTGTATTCATACTAGTGCTATTTTAGTATCATTGATATACTATTATAGTTTTTGTTAATATTTTGAATAAGATTTTATTTTTTATATTTTGTTTTAATTTTGAATGTAGTTAATTTTGTTAGGTGTAATTTTTATTCGTTTTTTTATGAAGTGTATTTCGTTTTAGTTATTTTATTAATATTACTTCAACTTACTGGCCTTGGCAACTAACTGAAATAAAATAAGTATATATATTTTTTTTTTCAGTTAGTTTTTCTTTTAAAATGTGTTTTTTTAAGTTAATAATAACACTGATCCATACTGTACAGTTTATTTGTTTGTTTGTTTTCCCACTGCCATAATGAGAATACAATTTTTTTATAATTTAATAATAAATGGTAAAAAAAAATGTGTTACTAATAATTAAAAGTAGTGGTACTAACAATAGGCTTAATATATATATATATATATATAATTTTTTTATTTTTTATGATTAAATATGATCCAGACACT